TTGCCATCTAGTGCTCAAGTACCTTTTCATTAAAATCGTCCTGATCTACTTCATCCAAAACTGCTGTGATCGTTTTGGGCAATTCTGGAGCTTGTCGTAGTATGACATTCTCCTATACACTTGGCCAGAGTCCTAGCATACAACATATCCTGTTCAGTGGCGGATACGCTTTTGCCAGCAAGCCTGAGCACATGAAGAGTCCCAAAAGATGTGATCCATAATCTCCTTGGAACCGCGTCAAATTTAGAATAGAGAGTCGTACGACAATTCCCAAGCATTTAGACGGATTTGTAGAGATAATTGTCGGCTATTGGCAATTGGAGAGCCTGTTGACGATTCACGGCAGCAAGTGGTTCTGCTGAGCAACCTTCCGAGTACGAGCTAATTTGCCTCCATTATGGGGAATGCCAAGGCCATTACGCTCATCAAGGTCAAGAAGAAGCTGTTAGAGAACCATCATCGCTTTCAATTGATTATAAACATTAAACTTCAGAATCATTATGTCTAAAAATTATCTACCATTCAGAAGAAAAAAATCTTTGTTTTTTTTTCACAAAAAAGGAACGGCTCAAGAAAGAACAGTGGGGGGTCTTAAAAACAAGCGTTTCAAGTGTAATTAAGCTAGTCGTATGAAGCGGCACTGTCCGGGTGGAGGCGATGGCGCTGAAGATGATGCAGTATTTGCTATCGGGGAAAAAAAGTTCGACGAATGGTTGATCAAGAACGGTGCGACATCGCACATGACTCTGAACCGGGAAGACTTATCCGACTATGATCAGTCTGCCTAGCGTGGATGTGACTGTTGCGGACGGCAAGAAATTGCGAGTCTCTGGTAGAGAAACGGTCAAGCTAACTTGAATTAAGGATAGGAGCATCAAGATGCTGGATACACTGTAACTCGGCATACGGCTGCTGTCGGTTGGTATGCCTTGCAGAATGCGGCCTACGCGTCGAGTTTCAGCATTCCTCGTCTGTCATCCAAGGCATGATCAGTGCTGTGGTACAAGGCAAAAATGTTGGCAAAGCCTCTTGCTTGATTGCAAGCAAGAAGAAGCACTGCTCGTGGAGTCTGCCGGGGTATACAACCAGAAGGAGCTGTGGCGAGCTTGCATGGGACATCCAAGCGAGAGTGATTTGGATGAAACGTAGCATGCCATCAATAATATACCAACTATGAGTCTTGACATCACGACGTTTTGTGGTGGAAACATGTGGGGAAAGCAGACCGTGACACCATTTCCATCACGGTTGGCGTCCAAGACATCACGTGTATGGGGGCTCACACCGATAAATTATAATTTTAATATAAAATATCTTTATTTTCTTACTGAAAAATTAATTTATCAAAAATAAATTATTTTAATCTGATATCATTAAATTTTAAAAATAAGTGCACTATATGTACTGACATTTGTAAAATTATGTGGCTGTGTCTTCAAGAGCGAAGTCTTCGCTAAGCTTGCCGACTTCAAGGCACTTTGCGAGGACCAAATTAAGTGGTTTCGCTCTGACAAAGGAACCGAATTTGTGAACAAGATGGCAACAAATACGTGTAATCAGCATAATATTATGCATTAGCGTACTGTACCTTTCAGTCCTCAACAAAACGAAGTGACAGAACGGATAAACTGTAAGATCATGGAGAAGCTCGGAGCATGCTGCACTGCCATGGCGTGTCATCGACGTGGTGGGCAAAAGCTGTGGGCACCGCAGTATATCTGATCAATCGGTCTGTAAATACTGAACGATCGAGCATTACGTCATATGCTATAGACTTTGAGAAGAAGTCACAAACGAAGCACTTGTGTGTGATTGGGACGTAAGGTTACGCTCACGTCAAAAATGCGAAAAGGACGAAGCTTATCCCAAGATTTTTTAAGTGTGTTTTGCGGGTATTGTGTCTCTACCAGTTGGAGGCGTCAAACACGATCAGTTAAGCTTGACGAGTGTGAAGGTAACGGTATATATAATACACCGTACCCAGGGTAAGAAACGATCTTCCATGTACCAAAAGAAGGGATGCAGCAGCAGCCCCGATTTCAGTTGACCGACGACTGGTGCCAAATGTACCCATGGGGAACGTCGAAGAATTCGTTCATAACTTTATGATGGATGAGGTCGAGTCAGGAATGAATACTAGTGTGCAACAGCGTCCGGCACTAGACGATGGGTGCACTAACTGGGCAGAATACCGCGCATGCAAAATGTTGAAGGAGAATCGTTTGTAATTCCGTGCGGGTGCAGAAGTCAAACATTCTTCTAGAACGGCTTCGAATCGAATGATTAACAAAGGACGGAAGGGAGCAGCGTTCGAAGCGTCCACAAACCGACAAATGTGTAATACTTGTTGAAACAGTAATAGCGTGTGCGGCAAAAATCGCCGGCGCTTCTGGCACTCCAAACATGTACGTCAACGTAATCACAAAAATGAGACAGTGACATGGCGGTAGGCACTGAATGTTAATTCTATCACACGAAAAGGATTGCACTTGGTCGCTTGATTCACGTGGGAAGGCACATCCGATCAGCTGTCGATGGGTTTTGCCAAAAGCGTGACAAGAGCGGTCTAATCATACGCTACAAGACACGGTTAGTGGTTAAGGGGTTTAAGCAAAAGTACGCTTTGATACGTACTCCCTGTGGCGAATACGAGCTCAGTTCGTGTTGTCTTGGCGGTATACACCGCAGAAGCATACAATATGGAACAATTGGATGCAGGCACAATATTTTTGAACAGCGAACTCAAGGAACATGTATGCATTAGGTACCGTTCGGCATTTAGAGCGCCGGACAATGCGATTATCTGCTGAATAAGGCTTCCTGTGTATTCAAGTATGTAGCATGCGCCTGGAGCAAAACTCTTCACGGTGTCTTCGTGTAGAATGATTCCAAGGGCTATAGTGTGAATCAGTGCGTGCATGTGAAGTAATTCAGAAACGTCTTGAAATCCATCTGTCTGCATGTGGAAGTTATATAGTTGTAGCCAAGACTCGTGCTGAGATCTCTGAAATCAAAGATGCTCTCAGAAATGCTTCCGAGATAAAAATACATGGTGATGCGAATTTTACTTCGGGGATGGAATGGACCGCGATAAGAGTGCTGGAAAGCTGATGATCAAGCAGACACGGTGAATCAACGATGTGACGGATCAAATTGGTCGGCAGAACGCCAAGATTATTGACAACCCTAGTGCATCCAACCTCAAGCTGTTGAATGATCAGTCACTAGTAACAGGTGCAGAAGCCACGAAGATTTCGTCAAGACCGTACAAATCGATATTTGGATGTCCTATGAACATTACGACATCAGTCAAGCCAGACGTTTGCCTACGTGGTAACCCAGATGTCAAGATTTCTCGAGATCCAGGACTACGGCACGGGCGAGTTGTTCCTGTACACAATACAACACGCTAGCATGAAATCTGTGCGAAAGTAGTCCGGTAAGATTTTGGTCTAAGAGACCAGTGGCGCTGAGATCAGCAGAAGCAGAGTATATGGCGCTGAGCTGCGCGCACTGTGGACGCGCGCGATGTTAAAAGACATTAACGAAGGTCAGGAAACTGCTACTCACATCTGGGCAGACAATCAAGGGGCAATAGCACTAGCACAGATCGCTGCTTATCATGCCAGAACCAAGTATGTGGACATCAAGCATCACTTCACAAGAAAAAACGTGAAGAACGGAACAGTCAGAACCGACTCCGGTGACACAAAGAAACAACTCACAGCTGTGCCTACCAATGCACTCGGGATCAAGACGCTCAAGATTCTACGCGAAAGGACAGATATCAATACTAAGCCAGAGCCTAAGCGAACACAGCTTTGGCGGTAAGTAGGAATGTTGTGCAATAATACAAGGTTTTGAAGACTTACTTGACTTGTGCTGTTATCATAGTGGTGATACAAAGAGTGATTTTCTTAACAAACTTATGAGTGGAAATTGTAAGTCATCGATACTTCGTTCATTCGTCCCTTCGTTTACAGTTATCACGTACTCTAATATTTGGCTAGCCATTGCACCGTTTGACATACAATATAAAAAGACGATTGTGTGAAGGGGGAATTTTCAAAAAAAACAAGTTCTGGTGAGCCAGAACACCTTTCACGCTACGATTTGAACCCACGCCTAATTAATTGGCGTCCTACTACTTAACGACTGAACCAATTCGCAACTTATCAATTTGCCAGCTAACCCACAAGTGGACTTTTCAGGAAGACCCCAAGCCCTAATCTGCTCTTCGCTTTGCCTATCCACGATGAAGATTCACATTTCGATCACGACTGCCCCCCATTGCTCCTGAGGCTACCGCAAACGATGGAAAGCGGCGACCAAACTGGGATCGCACCTGGCTCACACTAGGTATCCAGTCACCACACAGTATTAGGCTCGGCGCAACTGACGTTCTCCCTATCCCGGACCAGCCACCACGTATTGCTCTCGTAGTTTCTTAACCGATCACACCAATCTATCTGCGCCCCCGTTGACTCCATCGCTCGCGTTTCCTGTGCCGTCTTCCTTTGTGCCAACAACTGCGAGCGCCTCGGATGTTAATAAACCGATGGACTCGCCACCTGCTGGTGCCGCACCGCCAGCTTTTGCTGACACGCGTCCGACGATGGCTGACTTGAACAACCTGCAGGGTGATATCCGTCGCGGTGAAGCCAAAGCCGAAGCAAAGCTACATGGAGACTCCCAAGCTGCTCGCTTGTATTTCGAGTTGATCGAGCGCCACTACGCTGTGAAGCGTGAATGGTAGGTAGTACATCGCTTCTCGCATCAATCGATCCCGACCGTGCCAGCTTCCTCAAGCCAAGTTCGATATGGTTATCACCACTGGACTCGCCATTGCAGCGCATCATGGCTTCGCTCACTGGATCCGACCACGAGAATGAAGTTCTCGAAGAGCTGTCCAGGCACCCAAGTGTCGAGACTCCTGGCAGAAATTCAAGATTCAGAGTGAAGCCTAAGAACGTATGCCTGAAGCTTGTGCGCACAAAGGTGAACATCCTGTGCGGCATCTTTCATCTTAAGGAGTACGATGTCGTTGCAAACAAGTACTTCCTTGACATCTTGAATGTCGACTAGGACACGAACACGTATGTAATCTTGCTCCGACTCTCCATCCTCGGATGCCAACCGATTTACGAAACGTTTTGTGAGGTCAGCATGGCGACTGGCATCAGCTCAGCGACATGGCGCGTATACTCCTTGTCGAAGTCGTGTCCGCCGCAGCTGATGTTCAACGAATTGCTGTGGCCAGATTCTCATCGATAACAAGCTTTGTCCCGCGCACGACAGGACTGCGCCTCAATAGTCCGAGCGTCTCCCGTATGGGTTTCGTTCACACCACGGTATCGACCTCCAAACAAGTGAGGACATCTTCTCGGAAGTACACCTTCTGCTGCTCCAACTGCGACGATACAGCTGACGAAAGCCCCCCCCCCCAAACTCA